CCGTGGTAATTGGATGCCTTGAAGTGTCAGGGTGAATTGGTGGCTAGAAGGACAGCTCAGTTGTCACACTGCAATCTGCCCTGTGCAGGAGGCAGCTGATGTTTCTCTCCCATCGATGTTTCTGGCTTTCTATCCCTCTCCCTTCTTCTCTATGAAAAAAATTAATAAAATACCTTTTTTTAAAAATCAATGGAAAAATACCTTCACCTTGCCCCTGGTGCTCAATGGTTTAGTGCTGACCTATGAACCAGGAAATCACAGGCTCGATTCCTGGTTGGGGTTGGTGTACATGCCAGGATTATGGGCTCAATCCCCAAGATGGTGGCATAGGTAAACACCTGAGCTTGCTGCTGCACAACCACTTCAAAACTACAACTAAAGCCAAAACCTGTTTGGCTCTGTGTGTAGAGGGTAGGCCTGCGAACTGAAAGGTCCCGGGTTCGATTCCTGTCAAGGGCATGTGCCTTGGTTGTGGGCACATCTCCAGTAGGGGGTGTGCAGGAGGCAGCTGATCGATAATTCTCTCTTGTCAATGTTTCTAACTCTCTGTCCCTCTCTATTCCTCTCTATAAAAAAATCAATAAGATATATTTTAAAAATAAATAAATAAAATAAAAAACTAAAACAACTAAAAGACAAAATGGACATCATCCAGAAGGCCTATAAACAAACAAACAAACAAACAAACAAACAAACAAAGGAGGGATAGCCCTCACTGGTTTGGCTTGGTGGAAATCTAAACTTACCTAACAAACTCTAGCTGAGTCAGAAAGACCCAGAATATCCATAAGAAGGCCCAAAGCCCACAGCAGCTTGCATTGCTTCACAGCTGGGCCTCATCTGGGCACCTCCAAAACCGAAACTGTCAGTGCCACCCTGACAGGTGAACCGGACTGAGGTAGGGAGATGGGAATTAAGAAAAGGAAGACATGGAAGTGTGATAGGGAGGACTGAAAGCCATTGACAGATTGTAGCAACTTTATTAACTGTGAAATACTTTTTATACACAAACACTGACTGGGAGGTCAGTTCAAAAGGAACGTACTCTCTGTTCCTCTTAATCTCTAAGAGAGATAAAGAGGAAGCCAATTCTTGGTACAGCAAACCTCAATAAATAGTTACAGACTTCTGGTAAGTCATGAAAGGTGGCTCTCATTCTGCTGACAATTGGAAATTGCCATCCAAACAAATCAGGGGACACTGTGTGGGCAGGGGACTGAATCTTATCAGTCCCTTCGGGTGCTTACATCTGGTCTCCAACACCAAACAAAGAAGCGGAATCTGCAGATCTCTCTGTAGCTCCTGCTGGGTGGTCTCAGGCAGAGGTTAAATTAGCACCTCCTTAGAGATCCAAGAGTCAGTGTACCCAATTGTTAGAGTGGTACCATCCAGATTACAGCTCCTCAGATCCATAAGGGACACACTCAGGGGGGGAGACTCAGTGAGCACCAAAGCCCCACTGAAGCAAGTCTTGCCCCATAAGTGTCTCAAGCACAGAAGTTCTCCCATCATAGACACAGCTGATCCTCATAACCAATTGGCCTGGAGGTCAATTCCTCCCAGTGACACCAACAACAATCAAGACTTAACTACAACAAGACTGTGCACACAGCCCACAAAGGGGTGCACCAAGAGGGTCCACCTCAGATAACTGGGGAGGCTGAGCCATTGGGCCTTATAGGACACTTAGCACACAAAGCCACTCTATCAACTCAGGGAAACAGCTAAAATGCGGAGACAAACAAACAGGTCACAAGTGAAAGATATGAAAGCAAATGACTGGATATAGAATTCAAAACCACCGTTATAAGGTTTTTCAAGAATTTTCTAGAAAAGGCAGATAAATTTAGTGAGACCTTTGAGGATATGAAAAAGGACCAACTAGAAATTAAACATACACTGACTGAAATAAAGAATAATATACTGAGATCCAACAGCAGACTAGAGGATTGCAAGAATCAAGTCAAAAATTTGAAATACAAAGAAGCAAAAAACAACCAACCGGAAAAGCAAAAAAGAAAAAAGAATCCAAAAATATAAAGATAGTGTAAGGAGCCTCTGGGACAACTTCAAGCATACCAACATCCGAGTTATGGGGGTGTCAGAAGAAGAGAATAAGATACTGAAAACCTATTTGAAGAAATAATGACAGAAAACTTCCCCCACTTGGTGAAAGAAATAGACTTACAAGTCCAGGAAGCACAGAGAACCCCAAACAAAAGGAATCCAAAGAGGACCACACCAAGACACATCATAATTAAAATACCAACAGCAAAAGACAAAGAGAGAGTGAGTCCAAGTAAGCAGGTGCTTTAAGAGAAACTGCCTGGGACTCCCATAGCTTCCTTGTCACTTAGCCACACTCCCTGCTGTACTTTACAGCTAGATGTTGTGCTGACTTTTCCTGGCTCTGGAAACCTCCACATCCAAGTATCCCTCCCAATTGATTTTTGTTTTTGTTTTTTTGTTTTTGTTTTTTGTTCTTCTTTTTAATCTTTATTGTTCATATTATTAAAGTTGTTCCTCCTTTTTCCCCCCCATAGTTCCCCTCCACCTGGTTCCCACCCTACCCAATGCCTTCCCCCCCCCCCCCCCCCCGCACTGTCCTCATCCATAGGTGTATGATTTTTGTTGTCTCTTCCTATACCCCACATACCCCCTTTCCTCTCGAGGATTGTCAGTCCACTCCCTTTCTATACCCCCAATTCTATTATATTCACCAGAAAAATCTGTTCATCAGAGTTTTTGTTCACTTGATTTTTTTTAGATTCACTTGTTGATATATATGTATTTGTTGTGCATAATTGTATCTTTACCGTTTTCTTCTTCTTCCACTTCTTAAAGAATACCTTTCAGCATTTCACATAATTCTGGTTTGGTGGTGAAGAACTCCTTTAGATTTTTCTGTGAAGCTCTTTAGCTGCCCTTCAATTCTGAGTGATAGCTTTGCTGGGTAGAGTAATCTTGGTTGTAAGGTTCTCAGGACGTCACTAGGTTGGGGCATGGCTAACATCCATGGCTGCCATCAGCCATCTCTGCCCTTCCATGTTTCCAAGTCCCCGCTTTGCTGCGATCCAGCGCAGTAAACAATGATTGCTGCGTGCACCTCTGCAAGAGTAGCCCTCACTTTGGACCTGATGGCCAACAGACCAGCTTCTCCCCGTAGTCGTCTGGGTCCCCACGTGACCCCAGAAACTGGATTTCAAAGTGATAGGGAGCCTGTTTCCTTCCAGTTGAAAAGAAAAGCTGAGCCGCGAGCCCAGTCGCCCACCACCAGCGCTATTCGCGTGCCTCTGTACCGAGGCTCCTCAGCTTTTCAGCGTTTGCACTCCTTTCTCTTTCAGCCAGCCTTCCCGTGGTTTTGGATGATAGATATCCTTTGTATTAGTTTTAATTTTTTAAATTGTTGTGCGAGCAGCAGATCAGTTTGCCTATGTCGCCATCTTCGTATTGCACTTTTAAAAAAAGTATATTACATTTTAAAGCCATTTTTAAAAGGTATAAGATTTCAACAAATCATTTAAAAGAAATATGAGAAGAAAAACTATGTTCAAGATTACAAGCAAACAATTCTTGCTTAGAGGCATGCAAATTAATTGTCTGGAGGATGAACAACTCTCACAGCTGGTAGAAAAGCTTGTTTTGTGTTCACCTGAGCATCCGTTGAAGCATCCCTTTTCTCAGTATAAATCTGCCTCTTTGACCCTAACTGGGGTGGCTCAGTGGATAGAGTGCTGGACTGCAGACTGAAGGGTCTTGGGTTCCATTCCAGTCAAAGACATGCACCTTATTTGAGGAAGGTGTGCAGGAAGCAGCTAGCTATGTTACTAGCTCTCTACCCCCTCCTTTCCTCTCTGTGAAAATCAGTAAAATATATTTTTTAAAAATCTACCCCTTTGTCTGACTTCTCTTTTTTAATGGAAAAAAAATTAACATTTTGGTTCCTGCAGTTAATTAAAGTTAAAACCAAAAATAGCCCTAACCCGTTTGGCTTAGTGGAAAGAGCATCGGCCTGCAGACTGAAAGGTCTCAGGCTTGAGTCCAGTCAAGGGCATGTACCTTGGTTGTGGGCACAACTCTAGTAGGAGGTGTGCAGGAGGCAGCTGACCGATGTTTCTCTCTCATAGATGTTTCTAACTATCCCACTCCCTTCCTCTCTGTAAAAAATCATAAAAATATATTTTAAAATATTTAACTAGTATTCATTTCCTAATGTATAAAAACAATGACTTTTTTGGGGGGAGGGCAGCAGTTATCCCTTAACAAAATAAGCAATTAAACAACTCCGTACGTTGAGAGTATAATGTTTTATGGGGAAAATAAAGCAGAATAAGGAGGGGCATGGGCATGTCACTCCAGAGAAGGTGCCGAGGCGGAGGGGGATCCTCCAGCATAAAAGTGCTACCGAATTACTCATTATCCGAAACTCAAAGGTAACCCGGTGCCTCCTGGGTTTGACCTGGCAGGACAGCCTCTGAAGGTGTGAGGGCACCGGCCTGCCTAGGCTGTGAGCTAGAGGGCTCCGACTGGAGGCCGGGGGCCGGGGCCGCGGGGAGGGAGGCCGGGGCGTCCGCGGGGAGGGAGGCCGGGGCGGGGGACGGGGGAGGCCGGGGCGGGGGACGGGGGAGGCCGGGGCGTCCGCGGGGAGGGAGGCCGGGGCGGGGGACCGAGGGGAGGGAGGCCGGGGCCGGGGCCGGGGCTCGCGGGGAGGGAAGCCGGGGCGGGGGACCGGGGAGGCGGGGGCGGGGTGGGCGTCCGCGGGGAGGGAGGCCGGGGGCCCGCGGGGAGGGAGGCCGGGGCCGAGGACCCCGGGGAGGGAGGCCGGGGCGGGGGACGGGAGAGGCGGGGGCGGGGTGGGCGTGCGCGCGCAGGGGGCTGCGGGGGGCGTGTCCGCCCAGGCCCCGCCCCGTGACGCGCCGCGCCTGCCCGGTCGGCGTGGGGAGCGAGACCGGCGGCGGCGGCCTGAGCGGTGGCCGCGGGCTCGGCCGCGGTGCGGGCCCATGGCGGCGGCGGGCGCGGCGGGCGCGGCGGGGACGGCGGCGGCCCGGTCGGCCGAGGGGCCCCCGGGGCCGGCGGCGGCGGAGCTGTGGCTCAGTGAGTAGCGGCGCCCTGGACGCGGCCGCGCCGCACGTGAGGCCTGGCTTCCCGCCTCCGGCCTTTCCTCCGGGGCCTGCGGGCGGGCCTGGGCCGCGGGCGGAGCCGGCGCGGCGCCGCCCCGTCTCCAGCGCGGCGGACACTCGCGGGTCCCTGGCGTCGAGCTTTCTTTGGTGCGGAGCTCGGTGCCGGAAGCGGTTTCCGCCGTTGTGAGCCCTCACGGAGGCCCCGAGGGCTTTCCTGCCCCGTCCACCCCGTTTCAGCGGCGGGACGTGCACGAGGGCAGCTCCCTGCGCTCCCGGGGCTGACGGCCGCGGCCGCCGTCTCTCCTGCAGAGGACCCTGTGGGCGAGCACCCGGTGGGCGAGCACCCGGTGGGCGAGGACCCTGTGGGCGAGCACCCGTGCTGTGTCCCGCAGACCGGGCCTGGCGGTGCTCGCAGTGGCCGCTGCTGAGTGCGGGGTGCCTCCTGTGAGGGTCCCAGGCCCGGGCCGGGCGGGGCGGGGCGGGGCGTGACCGCCCCAGGTCCCCGAGGAAGACCGGGCTCCTTGCATGGGCTCTGCTGGGTGCTGGGCCCGGATAGCTAGCACTGGGTCCTCGCTCACAGAGACTGTTTTCGGTTGATCCATCCAAGCCTCTAACATCACCTTGTTTATAACGGGCAGAGGGACGCTTTGTTTAAAATGCGGTAGTAGGAATTGTGTGAGGTTTTTTTTGTTTTGTTTTGTTTTGTTTTTTTCTGGGGACTGTTTCAGTGGATGTAACATTTGAGTGGATAATGGAGGTGACAACATTCCAGACGCAACCACAAGTGCAAAAGCTGGGGGCAGGAGGCGGCTGGAGCGTTCTAGGCTCCGCTGGAGTGCAAAGCTGAGAGAGGCAGAGGCTGCAGGGCTCGTTGGGACAAGTTGTTCCAGGGGCTTGTATGCTGCAGAGAGGAGTTTATGATTTTTCCTGTGATGTGGGGCCGAAGGTAGGGTGTTGGACTTCAGCCAGAGCATTTGTGCTGAAGGACACCTGAAAAGTATCGCCTCCCCCATGTGGCGCTGAGTTGGTTAGGCCCTGAGACTCAGGCGGGGGGAGGTTTAAAGCTCTTTGGTAGTCTTATGGGGCTCAGGTAGGACAGAGGCTTTAGGACGGAGAGTAGAGACAATGGAGGCAAGAGACGGAGGAATCGGGTGGGTCCCAAGTTTCTGGCTCCCGGAACTGGTTGGTTCCAGACACTTCACCTGGCAGGAGGCCTGGTCCAGGAAGGAGACCACAGTTGAGTTGTGGAGGTGGAGGAGATTTTGGCACAGTGAGAGAGAACCTCTCTAGGTGAGTTGGTCGGCCCCAGATCAGGTCAAAGCTGGAGGTTAGTTTGGGAATCTTCGGTTCATTGGCAGTGAGCTTGGCCAGGGAGGCTGTGAATAGTAAGAAGGCAGAGACTTGCAGACAGAGCATGGAGAACCTCAACATTTAAGAAGCTGATAGGACCCGATCAGCATGGCTCAGTGGTTGAGCGCTGATCTATATATGAACCAGGAGGTCATGGTTCGATTCCCAGTCAGGGCACGTGGCTGGGTTGCAGGCTCCATCTCCAGTGCAGGAGGCAGTCAGCCAGCGATTCTTTCTAATCATTGATGTTTCTACGTCTCTTTCCTCTCCCTTCCTCTCTGAAATCAATAAAAACATATTCAAAAAGAAAGAAAGAAAAAAAAGAGACGCAGATGGGAAAACCTGCCTGCAGACAGAGAAGAAGCAGACATTGGTGGGCAGGTGGAAGCTGGGAGTTAAATGGCGAACAGAGACTTAGGCTGGAGTTGCCAGAAGCCCACAGGGGCCGGGTAGAGGACAGCAAGTGCTGGCCCAGGACGGACCCGGTGACCCGGTGGGAGAGAAAGAGGGACAGAGCCCAGGGCAGTTCTTCAGCTCCAGCTGTCTAGGCTTCAGTTTTCCAGATGGGCTGGAACCGACATTTTTACGTGAAATCTTTTGAGTTTTTAAAAGCCAGTTTGCTCAGTTGGTTGGAACCTCGTCCGGTTGTGCCAAAGTTGTGGGTTTTGTCCCTGGTCAGGGCATATACAAGAATCAACCAATGAGTGAATAAATAAACGGAGCAAGTCAATGTTTCTCTCCATCCCTCCCTCTTTTCCTTTCTACCTTTTCCACTCTCCCACCCTCTCCTTCCCCTCTTCTCAAGTCAATAACTAAAACATTTTTTAAAAAAATAATAAAAGCTGACAACTACTTTGAAAATAGGAAGTTCATCTAATCCTGGCCAGACAGAATTAATCTGTGGGAGATGTAGTCTTTGGCCATCAGCCCCTCCCCACCCCCACCCTTTAAAAAAATGTTTTTATTGATTTTTAGAGAGAGGGAGAGAGGGAGAAGGAGAGGGAGAGAGGGGGGGGCGGGAGAAACATCAATCATGTGAGAGAAACATTAATAGGCTGCCTTTAGAATACCCCCTTCTGGGGATCAAGCCTATTACCCCAGGTCTGTGCCCTGATTGGGAATCAAACCAGTGACCTTTTGGTTCCTAGATGGTCGCTTAACCACTGAACCACACCCAGCCAGACTAAATGGTGTCAGGGTGAAATGGAGGAGAGAATAGCCAGAGGGAATTAGACATAAAGGAGGTGGGCATCGGTGAGCCCTCTCTGCTTGATGTTGCTTTGGGGGAACTCTCCCTCCTGAATTCCAGGTCCCACTGTAAGCCATTGCAGAGGGGTTTAAAGGTGCTAAAGGTCAGAGCTAGAGCAGAAAGGGTGACACACAGGAATGACATTTGTTCTTCTGAATGTCTGGGGAAGGAGATAGAGATGATTGCACATGCAAATAAATTTGTCAGTAAAACCTCCCCACAATGAGTGTTAGGGGATGATCGAGCGTGAGGAAGGCGGGGATGTCTGGGAATGGCTGTAAGAAACAGAAGGGAGCCAACCTGGACTCTTGGGGACAAGGTTTCTCAATTTCAGTGCTGTTGACATTTTGGACCTTGTAATTCTATGTTGTACGGTCCTGTCCTGGGCATATAGTTGATGAGTGGAATCCCTGGCTTCTACCCACAAGATACAATAACACACATCCTTTCCCAGTTGGTCAAAATGTCTCCAGACATTGCCTGATGTCTCTTGGGGAAGAGAGGCAGGATCCCCTGATGCCTCCCGACCTGCACCCAGCGGGGACAGAGAAGGCGAACTAGGGTTAAACCAGAGTTGTGGGAGGCGGGCTGGGGCACAGGTGGTGCAGCGCAGGATAAGGTGGAGAGGTTGCCAAGGCCAGGGCAGCAGGCTGGATGGAGGAGAAAGTCACTTGGGGTGGATCTGAGAACAGCTGAGCTTGGCTCATTGACTAACCTTGCCTCGTAGGGCAGCTGTGTTTCCAAGATGGGACTGGAGTAAAAACAGGTGCCTTTTAGGGTCATAGGCATCAGAGGAATCAATACCTGTGAAGTACTTCGAGTAGTGCCTGGCACATAGCAGTGTTAGCTACTATTGTCAGTCTTTTTAGTTGTAAGTGACAGAAAACGAGCTCCTATAGGACTCCCAAAAACAGGGGAAAAGGAAAAACATTACACCTAGAATTGGGAAGGAATAGTTACCAAAGAATCATCAGGAAGCTGTTATCAGAGTTTTTTGCTTTAAAAATACATACAGCAACTTGCGTGCATTCAGGAGTTTCCCCCATGTGGATGACTTTGGTCAGTGTCTCAAATGACTGTGTGTGTAACTGCCCGATTCCTGTTCATGGAAGCCCTACACACCCCCTTGTATGGGTGTACTATGGCTTGGCTAAGCAGCCCCAATAGTGGACATCGTAGGTGGTTGCCAGTCTCCTGCTATTAAAAGCAGACCAGGCCCTCTGGGTCTCTGGCATTCGGGTAGCTGGTTGTGCTGTCAGCAGGCAGTAGCGTAAAGCCGGGTGCTCAGTTAGTCCCTTCCAGCTGGACCTCCTCCCAGATGGAGCGTCCCGTCTTTTTTCCATCCCCACTTGTATGCCTCCCTTGGGGATTAGGAGAGTCTGGGTGACAATCTATTTATGTTCTTGGAGCTTCTCCAGGGCTGAGTTCAATCTCTGTCATGGAGCCCGGCACAGGATATCCTTCAGTATATGCTTGTTGGATGGCTGCTGGGCGGGAGGAGTCAGCGTGCACCTCCTGCAGATGGGCCCCCTGTGCAGTGCACTGAATGCAGTTGGTGGGTTGAGTTCCAAATGCTCCTTTGGGCTCCCCTAAAGTATAGCACAGGCTGCTCCAGCAGGCATTTGGGTGCAGGGGGTAGGAGATATTTCTTCTGGATTAGACCTCTAGGATGAGTCATTTCATTCACAATCAGAAGTTTTAAGCAGGTTTTTTTGTTTTGTTTTGTTTTGTTTTGTTTTTAATTAGAGAGAGGAAGGGAGAAGAGGGGAGAGAGAAAAATATTGATGTGAGAAATCCCAGTCAGCCAATCCCTGCGTGCACCCTGACCAGGAACCAAACCGGAGGCCCCATTACACAGGATGATGCCCAACTAACTGAGCCACACCAGCCAGGGCTCAACAATTTAAAAAATATATATTTTTATTGATCTCAGGGAGAGAGAGAAACATCAATAATGAATCATTGATTGGCTGCCTCCTGACTGCTCCCAACAATCGAGCATGCAACCCAGGCATGTGCCCTTGATTGAAATAGAATCTGGGACCCTTCAGTCTGTAGGCTGACGCTCTGTCCACTGAGCCAAAGCGGCTAGGGCTCAGCAGTTTTCTTAATATCTCTTACCGAGTCATCTGCTTGAAATGCCTACACACCTTGCTTTTATTAAGCAAATCTATGACAGTAGTAGTATTTGTCCACCCAAGTGCCAATTAAATAAACTGCCTTGGTGCCAGGGATAGCCATTCTCAGTGCCCTGATGGGGCAGTGATGGTCCTGAGATGCAGGAAAGGGGTTTTGTGAGTTTCTTGCTGGCTATGCCCTCTCAGGGATTGGCATTAGCAAGTCACTCGTTGGGGGATTGGCATCATCTGTCTGGG